GTGTCAGGGAGGGGAACAATTTGTTATGATAGAATCTTCTAATGGCCTCCGGATTGATCAGGAGATACCGTCCTGTGTCACCAGAATGACAGCCAGAAGGCACTTTGCGATAGGACAGAATGGCCCTTCAGCCTTCGACCTGAAACGTTAATGTGTCCTGGGTGTTCTACTCAAGTGGCCCTTGCCTGGAAGGAAATATTTGTCTCAATATTGTTGAGTAGGGTGGTAGACTTCTAACTGTTAAAAAGAGTGGGTTAAAATGAGTTTTAAAAAGACAAACAAGGCCATCGTATGCTTGCCTGAGAACGCTTGTTTTTCAGGATGGATTAGTAAAAAAAATACATCGACATGTTTGGACATGCTCGCCTGCAACCTCAAGTGCAAGGAAAGGGATGGCCTGGGTTGCAACTTTCGTCACACCGAACGGCATCGGCTATTGCAAGTGTCACCAGACGGCCAGCGCCGTGGTACTCTGTCTTCTGGACAGATTAATAGTGACAGAAACACAACAATAGAGATTCAATCCGTTCTTATCCTCTGTCTAAAAATCGCGCACGTGAAATATGCGCCCAGACTGTATTCTAAATGTAAGATGTGATGCCCTGAAGCGTTCGAAGGTACTTTTTTCAGAAGGGTCATTTTTTTCAAACACCCGGTGGCCACGGCTTAGTATTGGCTGTTGGGCCGACGCTATGCGGCCTCGGAGACTGCAACTGTTGGCATCGAGGAACTCGTTGCTAAAATTTGTGCGTACGCATGCTCAAAATTAGGTCACATAATTGGTATCACTAATGGATGCAAGCATCTTACGGCACTTATTTCAGAAATGTCATCATTTTCGTCCACCGATGAGCCACGACTAAAAGTTAGCCACTGGGCAAACGCTCCGCTGCCTATGAAGACTGCAACGCCTGGAAAGGAGGTTTTTGTTGTTAAGATTTGCGAGCGGGCATGTAAGAAACACGCTACATGAATTGTATTACTAATCGATTCTGACTGGATGTTGAACATTTACAGCCAAAAATGGTTGGATCATGTTAATATATATTGCTAGACCACTCGACCTTCAATTAAATTTTCATCTTCAAATTTGGATCAAACATATCGATCCACAGTGTGCCTTCGCGATGTCCTTAATGTCTGTAGAACCCAGCTGAAAAATTCTGACAAGACTTCTGAATTCTATAGTTTCAGAAAGAGTCCACAAAGCCATTGAAAATCAAAGGCGGCGGTGATTTGCTGCATGCGATCGTTCAACGCCTGATTTTTGCGGTGTATTGACTTCAAAATACAAATAGAATTGACCTTGCGGTAGCTTCTGTTTTCTGTTCCGGTTGCAAAGTGAAAATAGAAATAAAACAAAGAAAACCGTGTCTCTTGTTAACAAGTAAGCTATATCCGGGAATTCTTTAGAGGGGGGAGGTCCCCGTAAAAATGTTTTTTTTTACACCGTGTTCCTCTTTGGCAAGGCTCTGGCTACGCCACTGCCTACACACGAAAGTTGAGCAAGTCACCTGCGTTAAATGATGGGCAATAAAGTTTCCGTGGGCCAATGCATACCTAAGGCAGGCAGCTTCCCGGATTTTTTTTTCTGCGATGGTGTGGTGTAAGGGAAGATGGTTCGGAAAAACATACTGTTGCAGATGTTTTACATACGCTTTGCAGACCAATTAGCAGTAATGCTGATCCAGAAATATGCAACAAAGCACCCATACGATCAGTTCGAGGTCAGTCATGCGGCAGACATCCGGCCCAGGGCAGCGGACGCCGACGGCGGACGGTAGCATGGCCCAGGTAAGGAATATGTGACAAAAGGGTCTTCAGTCTCTGGCTTGATTTTTAAAGGAGAGCTTTCAGTTGCGTGGCTTGTATCATACTGCTTTTGAGAGTTTCAAGCTTCCGAAGTTCCTTCCGTCTAAAACGCTGCGACAAGTCTTAGCTCTTGAAACTCAGCCAGTGATTTGAGGGCGCATACAAAATTTGTCACACTGTGAGCCATTCCGACTTGCTTTTAAAATTCTCCCCAACCTATGTCCAAGCCGTATTTTGGCATTTACCCTGTGGAGGCAGATGTCTCCTCAATGACCCAAAATGCCTACCCGCGCGTGGAATTTCGGCTCCCCAGGAAACACAACGTTGAAATAGACGAATAATTCTGGGAAGCTGGACAATCTTACCTGCCAAATGACATAGACGAGTGGAACAGGCAAGATTGTGTACCAGTGAAAAACAGCTCCAGGTGCATATCTAGCAAAACAGCCATGCCATTTGAAAAAATGATAACGACCTTCATCTCTCTCCCCCCCCCCCCCCCCCGATCATAGGGCTTGCTGTCCAGAAAAAGTTCCTGAAGCACACCCTGAGCTTCCCTCCACAATAGCTCAGTAGCTCTACAACTAGCTTTCAAGACCAACGAGAAACAATGTTCTTGAGCACGAAAGCTCAGGCCACTAAAACCAACATTGTCGGGCACATGTTGGATAAAAGCGATGGAAATGCAGCCAAACTTCCCCAAATATTTTGCGTTTGCTTCTTTCTATTGTTTCTATACCTTCCTTTTTGTAAGTTGTTTGGAGGTCAACAGAACCGTCCAATGGTCATAAGATCACCACGTGAGGGCCGTAAGATCGCATTTCGTTGAGGGTCTCAACTTCTCGGGCCGCGGACAAATCGCAGCTGAGCCCACGAGCTTACGCCCCGCCCCCTCTTCTTTCTCCCACTTCCAACATACTCTGCCGTAAAGGTGTGGATCCCTATAAAATAGTGCGTCATGCTGATGAAAACCCCGCGGAATGTAGGCCTCTTTATAGGATCTTGGAAGATGCAATATCTTCAAAC